TTCTTTTCATATGAAACGTATATTTTGACAATGATGTAATTTTCTTCACATTAGTAGACAGTTTCTCGCTTAATCAAATGCAGTTTCTTGAGATATGAATCAGCGAAATATACGAATTTTTGGCTGCTCTTTAAATTTATTATGTAAAAGGTTAACGTGTTCCGTCTCAAATGCCACAGAAACTTATGTTATACTCATCATATCTTGCAGTTTATCCCCGAGGCACTCAAAAAGAGCTCGGTTGCCCGGTTGCGCTGTTTATACGTTTGTTTATCTCCTGAAAGTAATGATATAGAAAAATACCGGTTAAGATAAGGCATTAGACAGGTTGTTTTGTTCCCAGGCTAGGTGAATAGTTGGTGTAAATCTTAAAGATCAAGCAACATGGCAAGTGGTACTACCATTCTCGTTCTTCTCCTGGTTTTCGCATCATTGGCAGAATCAGCTATAACTCAGTTTAAATGGTCTGATTGTGGTAAGATTTAGTATGACATACTTCTATAGTTTAGTACCTTCATCACGTAAAGTCAACACGTGAACACGTGTGAAACCAAAATCTTAACACTCCGGGCTTTTAAAACTTTTTAATAGCAGTTAGATCATATTAAGTAAAAAATTTCCGTTGATAAGCGATGAATGGACAGAGCATATCAGACTTACTTAAAACCTAATGCTAGCTGTCAGTCAAAATGTCACGTTGAAAATCTCCATTAATAAGAATCAACTTAATTGAAAATTTAGCCAAAGCTGATTGGATGAAGGTGTATTGGGGACACTGACAGCAGCGATTTGTTTGAGGCTCATTTTGCAATAAATCTTTTGAACTTTCTTCATTATACGGAGCCTACTATCGAAGAAAATATCTGCATTTGTCAATTATTAAACTATTTCTGCGTCGTTGATATCTACATCCTAAAGGCACCTCGTGGTGTCAGGTGTTACAAAGAAAAATTTGATATTCGAAATGAGACGACATTAACAATGTATTATTATGTTTATCTATAGAAGAATAAGTAATCTTTGAATATTTATTACTATATTTCCTCTCTAGCTACAGATTCATTAAGAGAAGCCTTGATAATGCTTGGGTATTAGATTAATATTATCTTTCTATCATCAGAATAGATAATATGTCAGTCGGTCAAGACTAACTAATGATTTTCCATTATTTCTTGTCAATGGTTGTACTGACACGCTTTCAGATTGTTAAATGGAATTTACTGACCACAAAAAAGGGATATCGTCATCTAAATGTTTTATTTTCCGCAAAATGTCTGTTATAAGCTTCCGGTATATCTTCTAAGTCGGTGTTGAGATTCCAAATGCCGAAGCGCTAAAAGGCACAAACCTCTCATAGAGCAATCAATTTAAAATTGGAATTCAATTTCGTATCTTTTTTGTTTTCTGGTATTTTAATCTGCCTTGTAATCTTACTAGTTTTCTATCATTTACAGGCTAAGAATATCCGAAAATAAAAAAGATACCAAATTGAAATCTAATTTCAATTAGATTGTCCTTGGAAGTCCTCTAGATGTTCCTCCTTCCCCAGACATTTTTTAAAAATTTTAATTGATTCAGTGAATTCTGATATATATTTAGCAGTAAAAGGTATCACTTGAAATTTCTTGCGGGTACTACCACCCACGCTCTACAACTAACTCTGTCAATCCCTTCAGATGTCTATTTCAAAATAACGATTTAGACGAAGGCTTGACATTTATCTTTCCTTTTAGTTTCGTATATCCTATTTTTGTGCAAGATTCTTTAATGGACCATTTATAGCGATCGTCTTACTGTTGGCTTTAAAAGTAACATTTGTCCTAATTACGTTAAACGATGTGTTAAAACTAGTAAAAAGGGTGTTAACTGATCGTGAAATAATCAAACCTCAATATTATATATCTTCCACTCTGGTCAAAAGATCACCATTACTTCGTGCCGATTTGTGTTCATTTCTTCTTAATTAAAATCATACGGTTGTCACACTTGCTCTTATATTGATCAGGTAAAAAGCCAAGATGAGAACACGGATTAAATGACTTCCACGAATGTTGAATATAAAGTGTTAAAAAGCTTTACGTGATGTCTCGTGAAGTGATAATAGTTTGGTATATTTCAATCAGCCGATGATATAAGTAGAATATATATCTCTACAACACGTATATTGAAATATATTACATTACTAACCTTGTTTACTTCTTAATTTCTAATACTTACAACATTTTCATCATTTTATCTTTTATAATCCAAAATTCAACTAAAAATTAAATTAGAATCGTATTGTAAAAGGCAGGTGAGTATACAAGGAGGTCATGTCCATCGGGTATTCTTGAACTCAAGTAAAACGCTTTCCAAATAGGTATCTTTTTCGAAGGTTGGCATATCAAGGTTAAGTAATCCTTGGTGTAGCTAATCTTTTATCAGAGATGAGATTAACTTTATTTGAAATTTTGTACAAAAAGATTGTTCAAGTTTTAATGCAATAGGTTGGTTGGATGGTTTGTGGATGATAACCAATCAGGATATGCTTACTCTTCTAGACACCTGATACAACTTTCCTTTTGAATTATTGCCACATTTATGATTGATATATAGCTGCTACCAATGTTTTTTCCAGAATGTTGGATTTGGATTTCGGATTTCGATTTTCTGTTCGAATCGTAGTACTTGGGCTTTTTATAGCAGACTATATAGGTAGCTTTTGATAGTCGTGGTAGTTGGCAGTAAATCTGGATCAATTATATGGATTGGTACTGTCGTTTGGGTAGTTCAGTATTATGATAGAGAACATTTTTACCTTTTTAGCTGCCAGCGACCCGAACAGGGCATTAAAGATAGATGAAATAACAGCTACTCCCATGCCATTAGTTACACCTGGTCCACTCAATTTCCACCTTAAGGCTTCTGTCACCAGATCTATCACTAAATGGTCACTGAGATTAGATATTAACAGACATACGTTTGCTGGAACTGTCCATGTACCATGTCAAAATGAATTTGGCTCTTGGTGAGTTTAATAATATTGCTTTTGCAAATAACACTTTATCAACATACAAATAAAAAAGTTCGAATCTCTTGGCAGTTTGATGCCAAACATAGGCCCTAGGTTTGGCTTTATTCAGAAATATTTGATTGCTAAATCATGTTTCCCTTGGATTCATTTGCTGACTTTTAATATTGAGGCAAGATACTGTCTGAATATATGATCAAAAACATTTAACGAAAGTCACTAGTACACCTTATTGGAAAAGTACATGTGTAGCTTATGGGAAAGTTCGTGTTGTTTTGCCATTTGGATAATAATGCCGAAAGTGTCATGAATGTAGCTTACAGTCAGTGCACTGGATGGAAAGAACCATCGAGTACAGAAGGTCTAGAAGAGCAAAGAATATTTCTATTAAACTGGGTCTGATTCAAAAAAATAATGATAAAGCATCCAGGTAATCTTATCTTTAGAAGGATTCGAATAGAACCGCATGGTACCTAATCGCCTAACAGACGGAAATTCGAGTAACAACCGACTGAACTATTCCACTGCCACCTAGGGTTAACCTTAGCACTTAGTATATGAAATGAAAATGTACTTCGTTGTGCATATTCTCAACACTAATTGGAGTAAAATTCAATGCTATTTCAGTACCTATGATGGATGCCAGATATTAGACAAGATGAAAGCAAACGCTGATCCAGGAATAGTTGATATAGCGGGTCAAGTTTTAACTTTAATCAATACTAATAATATTGATATAACTTGTCCAACTAAAGCACAATCAGTTAATATTGGTACTACTGTTATCAAAGTTCCTGAACTAGGAGCATTTGCTAATGCCCTTGCTGATGTAAGTACATGTACAATTTCTTGAAGGGTTATAGGCGTATAGTATTTGCTAACCATATTAACCACCACCCCCTCTCCTTGTTTCTCGAATTACACAAGAACAAGATATTGAGCTTTTATCCTAAAACGTTATACAAAATCTCAAAATTGAGCTTAAATCGAAAGCAATGTTAAACTATAAACCTTCACATACACAATTTTTCTTCACGAGTCCTTTCGGACCATCAACCACATACATCATCCGCGTTATTACGATGTAACTACCTTAAAATTAGATTGCTGTTACAGATAACTACGAGCAACGTACGGGCATTTCACGAAGTGTATACTTGTCGTTACGACTATAGTAGTTACAGTCTTTACGTTTTTGTAGCTTTTATACTTTTCCCCAAACAGAAAACCTTAATGAGAATACGTATCTATTCGTAAAGTACTCGTACCTACACGAAAAGTACTCATAATATTTCGTACATGCTAAACTAACTTTAATGAATCGTAAAATCTTGCGAGCAATTTGCGAATAATTGTGTCTTCTTGCGAGTTATTAACAGAAAAAAGTAATATGTAAAAACATTTGCCTCTCCTTCCACGGATCCTAACGGGTGTCTGCAACTTGTTGTGAGTTAATAACGAGTTATTTGCCAATACCAACAAATTATTTAAGGATGCTTGTTTGTGGGTATGATTCGCGAGCCTCATAAGAAAATCGTGTTTGTAAAAGGGGTAAAAAGGGAGAAAACATGTGAGAAATCAAATACTCTCTTGACTAACCTTTCTTATTAATAAACTCAACCAGAATACACATGATCCTTAGTGATGATGCTATAATATGTACATCCAAAAAACATAAATCATCTAAGAGTTTTTATTATTGCGACATGTTATTAACCGAATTACATGTAGGCCTAATGGTTTTCAGCTTGACATTAGTGTCCTCCATTACCCTGATATTAAATACCAACTCTTGATTTCATATACAGACGAAACTTTTTAATATTCTTTAATTCCTTCTTATCTTCAAGAAGGTCTTCTTATCGTCGGGTATTTCAAGGTAACTTATCAAATTACTATATTAATAACGGAAAGAAGGTGACAGACAGAAATTTGTGGTTTCTGACTCATCGTGAAAATCAGTTAAATCCTTTCACCTCATTAGTAACTGAAGATCACTTGCCCTCAAGCTGGCACATTTCAATTGACAACACCCAGCAGATCATTTATCTACATGCGGGTGTTTAAATCAGGGATAACCGAAGTACATCATCAGTACGCAGATGTCATCGAACCTCTTGACCAAAAACCATATTACTATTTAGAACCTCATTTTTCATCCAATCCGCGATGGTTAGATTTTCTATAAAGTTGCTTACTTAATTGGTTAAAATTTCACTATAGAAATAGCAAAACATGATGTCACTTTAAGTTGTATTAGACCATACTCATCATCTAGTTTTGCAAATTTACAAATTTTGTTTTTACCCGTTTTCAACTTATTATGAAAGCAAATCATTGAAGAGAAATCACAAACGATATACTGGCGAGCTTTTATACATTATTCAATACAAGTACAACCTCATCGTTTTGCTGAAATCGTAGGTGAAGGAAAAGCTTCATTCTGCAATGATACGAAATGCCGAGATTTAGCTATTTCAATTGACTTAACCGTTTAAGTCTTAGTGCTTTCCTAGGTCATAATGACAAGATTCCAATAGATTTTCAATAATTTATCTTTATTTTTTTATGTGTAAGAACAGAAATAGTGATAATTGGATGCAGCAGAGTTCAAATTGAGAATACCGGAATTTGAAAGATTAAACGACATATTTTGACAGGTTCACATGGGGAATTCCACACATGACAGATAGGTCATTGTGTAGATGAGATTGAAACAGGATTATTTGATTGTCCTCTTTAAAGTGATGGCAAAATAACGCCTCGTTTCCTCTAATACATATTGATCATTTTCAAATGCCCACATGAAATTCTTGACCGAAGAAACTCGTTAACACTTTAATAGGTACAATTCTCCACATATTTGCCAAGAAACTGGGTAAAATGGTTTATCACGCAAGGATGAACTATATAGAAATCCAATACACCGAAGAATATTTTAAATGAATTATTGCCCTTTGCTCTCGGAAACTCGATTTTTAGCTTGTAATCACTCTATTATGCAAAATTCTTCACGGATCTTTCAAAAATTGTTCATTACCTCCCCCCACCCCCAAACGTTTGAAAGAAATGTACGACTGAATATTTCATATTGGTGATTGTTACTGTACTGCCAAATTTTCTAATTCAAAATCAAAACTGCAAGTGGGCGTATATTAACTTGCCTGGCAAGCTATCTTAAATAGTTGTTTAAGTGGTGATGCTGTCTGATTTATATTGCATATAGAAATATTAATATTATAGTCTAAAAGAATATTAGACGGATTTTTGAAAAAATGAAAAAAAAAATGCACTAAAATTCATGTTATTTTGAAGCCGGCGCATCCAATATCATTCTGTTTTATAGTGGTCGTCTGAATGACTCTGGAAACAACCATTGAGCCATTTGTCATTCAATTCTCGAGATTTAAACTCCCATCAAAATATTATTGGATATTTGTTTATCTTCTATTTCGAACCAATTAGCCCCCAACTGACCGTGCTGTTACAATTATAATCACAGGTTATCTCTCTTGAGAAAAGTGAAAATGGCGTCACTTCCTCAATCTCTCATTTTCTCACCTGGTTTCACCTGTCAGTGCTGCAGGTTAAGATAAAACGCCTGATGGGACAATAAATTGAGGCCCCATGTGCTACAGGCTTTGCACGTTAAAGATCCCTAGACAGTTAGAAATCGGCGTTGCCTGTCTTCATTAGCCCACATGGTGCAGAAAATTAGGATGTAAGACTCCATTCATTTCATTTTTCCTTGATCTCTCATACTGACGTTTCGGTCCTTATAGTCCCCATGAATTTCTGTTGAGGTCTCAAAAGTAGTAAAAAACGTGATCATGGCCATCGATTTTTATATGTCAACCAAATAACTCAAAATTGCAAAACCTTTTCCCAAAAATATAGTCCCTATGGTTAGGCTATAGCTTTATAGGTTTAAAAGGTTGTATTTCGCCCATATATAGTCATAGTACAGTTCATGCCAAACTTCAATTTTCTTACAAAAGAAGACATAGAAGAAAGTCAATAATCTTGTAAAAACAGTGATTGGAAGAGTATGCAAGGGCCGATAACTCTGCATGAGTGAGTGATCACCTACTTTGACTGAATACATGTCTTTTATTGACGTGTAAATTGTTCTGTAAATGAATATCGCAGACACAATCGTAGCTTCAGGTCGGCAATGCAAAAACCCCCAAATAAAGAAGAAAACAATACATGGATTTGCCTCCTGAATTCTGACAACCGACCATTTCATTAGGCTGCTGCAACTATATATCATCATGGCCCCTCTGGATATATTACTCGGTCTATATTCTATATCAAGTTTGACAGGCCTGAACGCGACAATATTGCATATTGATCCCACTTCCTCCTTCTTATTTTTAACACAAATTAATTTTTTAGGGTGATTATACAGTTAGTGTAAGAGTATTGAATCCAGATAGCGGTGAAATCTATGGTTGTGTTACATTCGATGCTTCTTTAAAGAGAAAATGTGTTGGTTGGTTGTGTCACAGACGACGATAAATGTTATTAGATATTAAGGTTTTTATATAACTGTTCTGCTTCCAGTCACTGAAATATATAACGTCTGCTGTCTGACTTGAACTCTTGTTGTTCACTATGTATCAGTGATATTTAATATTAGCTATCTCGGCATACAATAGAAATCAAGCCACTCTGCTTTTAGTTAGCAAAACGTTGCGAAAACGTTTCCCTAAAGTCTTTTGTAGTTTGTACTGAACAAATTGTTATATCAATATGGTAACTGAAGGAATGACAATACAATTATTGAAAACAGGTAGGATTCCATGAAATATGGTGAGGTATAAATGGATTGCAGAATATCTTGAAGCTGAATGTGTTGACAAACAAACACAAACACAAGACAAAACATATACCTCTATTCTAGCCTCTGATAGCTATTTTGAAAGTTGTAAGCTACTCGAGCCAATTATATCTATCAAGGGCTGGAATAGATGCAGAAGTTTCGGACTAACCAAATCCAAACTACTTTTTTGGGTGGCACAAAAGATTGTTTTCATTTCTTGTAGATTCTACTAATGTTAAGATGATTCGTGATGATTGGACAAATTTTAGGATCAAAAATGGATCTCTCTGTTAATTTGGAGATGACTTGAAATGATCCTTTTTCATTTGAGATGTAGTGAGTATTTCACGCTTTGTGAAGCTCTTTTTTCATCTAATTAAACAATGATTCTCCTTTTTTTTTTTAAAAAAAAAAGGAAAACATTACGGTTGCGCAAGGCATTGTAAAGAGGTTTTATAAAATTTTGATTTATTATATCGGGGACACCGTTATCATCAATTTGCACCATTTCAATTTTTAATCGGACGTCTGTGGTTCCTGCTATTCCACTAAAACCTAGATGTTTGATGACTTCTATCTGGTAGGCTGTAGAAGAGGTATAGTTAGTTTAGAAATGTCTGAAGGTCTATCTGGTGCATAAGAAAGATCTAAGGTCGAGTTATAATATCCGAGTAACATACTTGTCTAGATTAATCAAACAATGTTCTTCTCCATTAGCCGGATACAATATGGAACTAAAGTACTTCAATTCTGAATGAAGTATTAACTATGAATAACATCGTAGTGGATTATAATTGACAGTTTATGAATTTATGTTTAGTTTATTGTATTAATTGATGTGAATAACGGTATAATAATCAGAATAACGAATATTTATACATCATTAAAAATATACTCAAATAATTGACGAGAAAAATGCCATCATAAACACTTTATTAGCAATGATGATACACTGATAGCGTCAAGGTGACGTTAAGGCCCTTGCCGTTTTTTCTTTAATGCAAATCTTTTCAGGATGCTAGCTGTGGAATCTGTAAGAATAAACGCTAATGTTGATGATTTCAATATGGTCGTACATTACAAACTGCACGCGAAAAAAAATATGGTATACCACTGAAATTGCACCGAAAAGAAGAGGATATATCACTGAAATGGCAAGAAAAAAGGAGCGAACATACAACTGAAATAACAACAAAAGGTTAGGACATACAACTGTAATATGGCATATATAAACGAGAAGAGAGGACATACATGAGGCCAGGACGAAAATGAGAGGATGAACAACTGAAATGGCAACGGAAGAAAAGGACATATACTTGAAATGGCAATAAAAAGGAGATGACATACAACTGATATGGTATCGAAAAGGCAGGGGCATGACAAAGAAAAAGAGAGAATACACCATTGAATTGGCAACGAAAAGGAGAGGATA